ACGGGGATGAGGGCGAGGATGATGAGGCCGGGCCCGTGGCGCCGGCCGGTGCGGACGAGATCCGGGGGGTTGTCTACTATCGAGTGGAAGTCGGGGCCCGGTTGGACGTCGGCACGGCGGGGGGTTGTGTGGAATGGGCGGCGGGAGGACGGTGCTGGTGGTGGTGCGGGTGCTTGTCGTGATGATGCGCGAAGGGCGATTGACTTTAGGCAGAGGTTTGTCGTGGACATTGGCGCCCGGAAGAGGGCTCGTGGTATTGGCGGCGGCATTGTGACTACTGTTGGCGGGAGAGCGTCCGCCGGAGTGTTTGGCCAAGATTTGAAGCTTTCCACGAAGCTGCGGATGAGGTCAGGACGGTTTGGATTTTTGGGGTCTCGATGTACCCCCTGTAAGGTACCTCCAGCTGCCCCGAGAGGAGCTGCAGCGCGGGAGGTTCGGTGGCGTGGCGTTGGGTGTGGGGTTCCCTTGGGGTGGTGTGTGTGGTGTAGGCCTTGCCGGATTGGTGCTGTCTCGGACGGAAAGCGGAAAGGGAGGACGCAACGGACGACACCTTGTCCCTTGTCATCATTGCATGTGCGTTTTTGATATCTCGTCTGCGGGATCACTTTCACTGTTGAAGCGTTTGACTCAAGCTGACAGACGGAAAGCTGTGGTGAATTTCGAAGCTTCAACGGATCATTGCGACCCTAGAAGCGTTTGCAGAAGCTTTATTTAAGGCAGCACAGAGCTGTTCACATCTCAAGCTTCAGATTCTCCTGTCTTCTGCGCCCAAACGTTTGCGCCTACAGCTTCGATCTCGCGCCATGTTCTTCACAGGAAGCTTGCAAGAAGGCATAGCCTCTGCGCTTCAGCAGAGCAAATGTGTCTTTTGCTTCGTGACAGGTAAACTCTTAACGCCGACGACGCAGCGACCACTCACTCACATGCCTACAGATGAGCAGGAAGAGAGCCAGCGCTGGGAGACCGAGTATCTCACCGAGGACTCTGTAAGTCACCCATCTCAATCCCTATGAGCCATGATCTCACACGTACCAGGTCGCTACTCTACTCCAAGATGAAGCCGTCGCCCTGCGTCTGAAGCAGGGCTCAGAGGAGGCAGGCTTCCTGGCCGCCATCTTCCCCCTCCCCAACACGCCCACCGTGGTGGTCATCAAGAACGGCGACCTGAAGGAGTACATCGTCGCCGGCACCACCAAAGACGAGTTTGTCCGACGTCTGACGACTGCGTTCCGCGGTGCTCAGGGCCAGCCCGCCGCAGCGCAACCTGCCCAGCCGGCTCCCGCCCCGGCGCCGGCAGCTCAGCAGGCTGACGACCTGTACGACGAGGAGCCATATTCCGCCCCTCAAACTACCACCCAGACCCAACCGCAGACCACTGAGCCCACCCCAGCAGCAAACACCCAGACAGACCGCGAGCGCGAAAACGCCCGCGCCCTCCAAGCCGTGCTCGCCGAGCGCGCCGTCCGTCTCGAGGCAGAGCGCGCCGAGAACGAGCGCAAGGCCAAGGAGGCCCGCGCCGCGAGGGCGGAAGCCGACAACTCCAAGCAGGCCGCAGACACCCGCAACCACAAGGAAGCCCTCAAGAAGGCGCGCCAAGAGGCGGCCGAGGAAAAGGCGCGGATCCTCAAGAAGATCGAGGACGACCGCGCCGAGCGCCGGGCCAAGGCCGCCCAGCGTGCTGCGCTGCGGGAGAAGGAGGCCGAGCCGAAGCTGGGGGACGTCGCTGCGGCGCTGACGAGGTCCGAGTCGAGCTCCCTTGCGCCGGGGAAGTCTGCCTCGAGCGGTATGACCGCGCTGCAGGTGAGGCTTCTGGACGGGTCGACGATCCGGAACCGGTTCTCGAGCGGGAAGAAGATGGCGGAAGTCAGGAAGTGGGTGGACGAGGCGCGGACGGATGGGAGCAAGGAGCCTTACCGGTTCAAGGTTGTGCTTGCGCCGTTGCCTAGCCGGAAGATTGACGACACGGAGGAGGGGAAGAGTCTTGCGGACTTGGGGCTCTCGCCTTCGTCTACGCTGGTTCTGGCGCCTGTCGGGGCGCATGTTAGTGCGTACGAGGGCGAGGGCGTGGGAGGCATGTTGGTCACGTTCTTGATGATGCCGCTGTCGTTGCTGCAGTGGCTCTGGGGGCTGATTACTGGTGTGTTTTCTGGTCTCGGCAGGAGGAATGAGGAGGGGGCGGCGGAGCCGGTCACGGTCAGGGAGCAGCGCAAGGGCAGGTTCTCACAGTTTGAGAATGCGGATGATCGGAGGGGTGACCAACAGTTTTACAACGGCAACTCGGTAAGTGCAAATTTCCACCGTTGGGAGGGGACGAGGCGGATGCTAATCCTTGCAGACCAACTTTGAGCCACGACCCGATGAGAAGAAGGACGAGTGAAGGGCGAGGTCACGACGAGCGACAGCTTGGATGAGGGAAAAACACGAGTTGGCGAGTGGGAATTTCCATCTATTGTACACCTAGGAGATGTAATATACTTTCGAGAAAGCCCCTCATTCTGAAAATGCTTCCGCCAATGCAAAATGCCCGTGATGAATCAACCCCAATGGAGCGAGCCTTGAGCCCATACGCTCCTTTGTTGATATTTTGGTTCCCATTTCCGTTGTGTTACATTAAGTACATAAAAACATCCGACGTTAACTCGGCATCACCCAAGTCGCCCACATGTCTACTCGAGAGAGCGGACCGCAGGTCAGCACCTGAACAGAAGAAGCTTAGTATTGGCTGGCGGCAGCTTGGCAGGCCTTGAGCTGCTCGAGGTACCAGTTGCAGATCTGCATGTTGCCGTTCTGCTCGTCCATGCACTTCGTGAACTGCTGGGTGGCGCCAGCGCAGTTGTTGCCCCATTGGGAGGTCGTCTGGGACTCGGCGCCGGCGGCGACGGGGGAGGCGGACTGGGCCTGGGCGGGGGCCTCGGAGGAGCCGCCGGAGAAGAGGCCGCCGATGGCGTGGCCGACGGAGGAGCCGATGGCGACACCGCTGGAGGGGTTGTTAGCATTCTGTCATGGTCTTGGTGGCATAGGGCGGGGGAGTTTCCGGTTTCGAGATTTGAGGATGAGGATCTTGAGGGACGGGACGGGACGTACGCAGCGGTGCTAGCCATCTGGCCAAAGAGACCGGGGCCCTGAGAGGGAGCGGCAGCGGCCGGGGGAGCGGCGGGGGGAGCGGCGTGTTGAGGGGGAGCGGCCATCGTGGTGGCAGGGCGAGCTTGGGTGGGAGCGGGCTTGGAGGCCGGGGCGGTAGGGCGCGAGGGGGCGCGGCCGACGGAGCGTTGACGAGGCATCTTGGATATGTGTGTGGTGGTGGTTTGTGTTGTAGAGACGGGTGTGGTTCGTTTACGGCGGGCGACGGTTGTTGATGTCTTGGGGATATGTAGTTTTTGGCGTGGATTGGGAGGGAAGTCGGCAGAAGTTATGCGCCGGAAGGGTATGCGAAAGGTGGTTTGGAGCTCGGCTTTTTTTCTGGGCTTTCGGCCGGGGGTGGCGAGGTGTGGCCAATCAGCGGAGGGCGAATTCGGTCGTGGTCCAGAGCGTGGAGAGGGGTCTTTTGTTTCTTGTGATTGGTGGGTATGCTTCATACGGGCATATCGCTAAAAAGGGGTACATTGAGATGCGGTTCTGTCTTTGGTGATTTCATTAAGTGATTCCGTGTCTATTTGAGGGTATAAACTTTTGATTCCGATGCGTGAAATGATTCCTTCTCCCCTTGCAATGTACTGATGTCTTCTGCCTGAAGCCGAGACCAAAGCTCGTATGTCCGCATTGCGGCCGCCTGCTTGCCACCTGTTTAGCCGTTGGATCCGGAGAGCAGTCTCCTACGCAGGCACCCCTCGTGACCCTGAGTCACATTCTGGATCCATTCCGACCGAGTGCAATTCCTTTGCTGCAAATTTCGCCAAACAATCCTAAAGCTGCTCTCAAGACTTGTTCTTCTTGCCGGAGCTCTTTCTCCTCGAGTTCCTCTGCTTCTTCTCTGGGCCAGAGGAGCTGGCTGACGGCGAGTCTGGCGCCGGTCTCTTTGTCTTCTGCATGGAGTTGAGCAGCGCCTTTGCGCGCTCTTCGGCCAGCTTCTCCTCCAGCTTCTTCTTCAGAACCTTGTCGTCGCTCTGTTACAATCAGTATGGCTCGGCGAGCAAATAAGATGGATAGACTCACCAGATCCGCCTTGAGGATTCTCGTCGCTGCTTCCGTGTTGACAGTCATGGTCCGCTGGGCGGGGTTCTGTGCCTCCTCGACCTGCTTGATCTTGCCAAAGTACTGCTGTACGCGCTTCAGTTCCGTCATGACATTGTGATCCTTGGCGTCGACGCCTTGAAGGCGAAGGGAAGCTGTGAGGTGGTCAGTTGATGGCCTGGGAGAAACGAGGGGCTCACTGACAGAAGAGGAGGGATTCGATGGCGTAGGCGGTAAGAGCGAACATTTTCGCTTTGTCGAGAAGGGGCAGCTCGCTGGACATCTGAGGCAGGTCGGAGACTAGGGGCTTGAGAGCATCCTCGAGAGAGTCGATGTGAGTCTCGAGCTTGTCGAGCTCATTTGACATATCCTTCATTGCCATCTTGAGATTTTGTTGTGTCAGATTGAATGACGGTGGCTCTGATGAGTTAAAGAAAGCACCAAGAAAGAGTGAGCAGCGACGCGTTGATATGGTATGTCACCCTGATTGAGACCGCGATGAGATTGATGTTGAAAATTCAGAAATCCGGTTATGGAAGGATGATCATGCATCTAACGAGGCGCTGGGGTACCTGCAGGGCCAGTGGGCCGGGCCTGCAAGCCGGGAATCCACGGCTCCCACGTTGAGCGCCAAATTTTTGAGGTTAATGTCCCCGTCATTAGTCTTCGCCGCCTTCCAACTCCGATATCGACCCTCGGTTTTAAAATAACGAATTGGCCGCCCCTCGCGCTCCGGGGCTCCTCGACATACAAGACGAAATATCTTGGTGGCACACGCAAGAACCACGCTGCTCTTTCACTTTGGAAATCCGACGTACATCGCGCAGCGCATGCGCCGAACCCACCAACCCGTCACCGTGGCAGTCACTCTGGCAAGCCTCCCGAGACCGCGGCTCTCCGCGCGGATACCTAAAACACAGTCGATATGGAAAGCAGGTAGCACTTGCGCCGGCCGGGGAGCCAGATGCGTCTCGACAGACACCTCGAACAAACTCGGCCTAGGGAGACCAACCCATGGCATTGCCCCCGGGAAGGTGGCGCCCAACGAGATGATGGCCACGGTACCTGGTTCCTCGACACTGGGTGTGCCAGAAGCGACAAAGGAGAAGTTTAATAAAGTCTTGGGTCTGCAGCCAGAGCAGCACGAGAAGGAGCTCTACGCCATCTTCAAGGCGGATTCTCTGTCGAGGTTCTACGTGCCTGCCGTAATGATGGGGCACGACTCACCGCCGCCGCCATCATCGAGGATGGTACACATCCTGGGGGCAGACGAAAAGACCAAATTTATATCGCATGCGCTACACGGAGTTTACGACTCGGTGCAGACGCTCAACATACCGAAGGACACGCGCTATATGAACGTCACTGGTAATGTGAGCAAAGATTCTAAATGGAAGGAAAAGGCACCCTGGAGTGATCGCAACCATGCGATTGCAGAGCGTTCGGAATCTGTCGACGACGACGGCCATATCAGCAATCTTATCGTGGGCGGACGGCCCGCCCAGGTACTCGAGGTGTTGGGCAAGGTCCGGCACCGCGTGGACGACCGGACGGCCATCTGCTATATGTCAGACGGGCTTGGAGTTGCCGAGGCCGCGAACAACAAGTACTTCCAAGATGAGGAAAGGAGGCCCTCCATCGTTCTCGGGCATTTCAGCAGCCCAGTCGCATATAATAGGAATTCGAAGTCGGTGCGGGTCATGCAACCAGACTACGCCACATCACTCACGGGGGTGCGACCGCTCGTGGAGGGTAGGGACGAATACCTCTCGGAAACGGCATGGCTTAGGACGCAGTCTATGCTGCAGAAGTTTGCGACGGCGGACCTGCTCAAGGCGCAGGGGATGCAGCTCGAAAACTGGATGAAGGTCAAGATTCCGGCGCTGATGTTCTCGGCCGTCGCAGAGCCGATCTGTGTGCTTCTGGATAGGCCGTACAAGGACCTCACTAGAAATCGTCATGCCAATTTGCTGATGGACCAGCTTTTGGAGGAGATTGCGGATGTGGTGGCGATTATGCCGGAGGTAAAGCGGTCGCCGGAGCTGCAAAACATGCTACGGAGGGGGTACATGAAGAAGATGATCATGAGCCAACTCTGGGGGAAGAAGGATGCACCAAGCAGGATGGCATTACAAATCCGGAGAGGGGCGCTTACGGACATCGACTATCTGAATGGGTTCTTCATACAGAGGGGTGAGATGGCGGGCCTGAAGTTGCCTGCGAATAAAATGGCCGTCAGTATGGTGAAGGCAAAGCACAAGACCGTCTGGAGAAAGACTCAGTCGTATGTTCATGTAGAGGAGACTTCAAGGCGGTAGATCGGTCATGAGCATTTGGGCATTTTAATAGCGACATGATTTGTATGATTTTGTTGGAAGCAGACGAGACGAATTCCGTTCATCTGACGAAGAACGCCATGTCGGATATGTTTTGCGAGTGATATGTCACTGCGTCGGCTGGCGGTCAGACCACCCACCACACCCAAGCAAATTGGCTGTGAAATTTGTAAGGCGCCAGTTGAGCAAGGTAACCCCGCCAAAAAACTGCCGTCAGGCAGGGCGGCCCCGCGTTTCCCTGAACCAAACATCAACACCGGCGCAACCCACGCATCACTCCCCAGGAAAATGGACGACTCCGAGCTTGACCAGGTGAGCGCATTCATTCAACGCTGCGATTGAGACTGGCGAAAAGCTAACCCCACATGCGTGCCGCAGATTCGCAAGGCCCGCCTTGAGCAGCTCAAGGCGCAGGCCGGGGCTGGAGGAGGTTCCGGCGGCGGCGGCGGCGGCGGTTCCCAGCAGAAGCAGGCCGAGCAGAGGCAGTACGTCATTCCGCCATTTTCTTCTCCTTCCTTCTCTTTCGCACAAAGATTGGCTGACTTTACGGACGTATGACATAGACAACAAGAAGCCGAAGCGAGACAGCAGATCCTCAACCAGATCCTCCACCCCGAGGCCGCGGACCGGCTGGGCCGCATCCGCCTCGTCAAGGAGCAGCGCGCGCAGGACGTCGAGAACAGGCTCATCATGCTCGCGCAGTCGGGGCAGCTGCGCAGCAAGGTCACCGAGGCGCAGCTCAAGGAGCTCCTGGCCGCCGTCGCGGAGAACAAGGAGGAAGAGAAGATTGTGGTCAGCCGGAGGAAGGGATGGGACGACGACGATGACGACTTGCTGGATTTGTGAGAGGGGCACGTGAGGAGATTCTTCAGGCACGCCGTTCTCGCTGCGGACGGGTGCCCCAAAAAAGGCATCTGCCATGCAACCTGCCGCACACGCGATGAATGTGCTGGCGATGGAATGGCGTTATTAGCATGCTGCAACCGCAGATTGGTTTGCGACTATTGCAGTGCACCGCGAAACCTACAATTTTTAACCTACACTACAAATACATTGGCTCGTCATGATCACAAGAGCGAAACCTACGGCCCCGCCGCCGCCTTCTCCATGGCCTTCTTCCTCTCCTCCCGCTCCTTCTTCCGTATCGCCCTCATGTTGGGCGGCCTCTCAATCCCCAGCTCGGCCCTCAACTCGTCCACGTCCCGCTCCATCTGCTCCTCCCAGTAGACATTAATAACCTCCTTCGCCCTCAGCCCGTTCCTCACCGCCCACGGCCCGTAAATCTCCCTGAACCGCCTGCGCTCCCCCTTCTTCAGCGTGAGGTAGCTCATCGTCGCCAGGCCCGTCATGGGGATCAGCGTGTTCGCGAACTCGAACGCCTTGAGCGCTACCTCGCCCTCCCTCACCACCGGCAGGCCCGTCAGCGCGTGGTAGAAGTCGTGGCACTCGCGGTAGCGCTGCATGACGTACGCGCACTCCGGGTCGTCGATGAAGCGCACGCTCGTGCGGGTGTCCGGGCTGACGCCCTCGGCGTCGAGCCAGCCGACGTAGGCGCGGCCGACGCTGTTGTCGGGCAGCTGCCGCAGGCGGTCGAGGTTGAGCGTGGTGGAGGTCATGCGGGGCCGGTCGCGGAGGATGCGGCGGCCCGTCGGGTCGGCGAGCATGGCGTCGCGGAGGCGGTAGATGAAGTAGGGCGTCGCGGTGGCCTCGCCGACGGCGGCGATGAGGTCGGCGCGGTACGGGGAGAGGAGGGACCAGATGCCGGCGCCGATGGCGAGGGAGGCCTTTTCGATGCGGTTTAGGGGGACGTGGCCTTCGTAGTTTGGCGGCGGGCGGTTGAGGACGGAGAAGGGGCGGGAGGACGGTGTTGTCGTCGTGGTGGCGGCGTAGAGGGCGGGGAGGCCGCCATTTGCGCGGGGAAGGGTGCGAAGAACTTTCATTTTTGGATGTGGGAGGTAATTGAGATTGTAGATGCTGTCCAGAGGAAGCATTCACGGCGCGGACGTGGGATTAGAGCTTTTTGGAGCTGTGAGCTCAGCTCGGCGTGGTGGTGGTTCGATCACGAAGTGCAACTTTTGGGAGCTCGGACGATGTCAATTACCTCACAAAGTACCCCCGAATGGCGGTGCAGAGGGGCCGAGGGGTCGGGGCATCAGCGGGGTTTGGCACCGACCTGCAATGGTGGGTGGTAGTGGCATTCCAGGGTACCTATTTTCCGATAAAATCGAGACTGCGTCGAGAAGAAGCCAAAAGTTCAGATTTGGCAAGCTTTCCTGGGGTGGCAGGCCCCGCAGGTGAGCTGTGATTGGCCAGTCTGGTTTTTGACGGATGACCGTCTCATCTTGAACTTGAGTCTCTTTAAACTCTACATCCATAACTTGCAAGCTTGAATGACTCTATTCTGGAACATCGTTTCGATTACGGATCTTTTGTCCTCATCTTGCTAACTGGCCATGTCATGAATGAGACTCGGGCATACTATTCGTGTTGAGATACGGTTGCCGTGTATGCTCATTTGAGAGGCTAGGCAGTGTGACTGGAACTCATCCAGACCGTTTAGAAGGCTTAGTTACACGATTAAAGTTGGCGACTTTGGTGGACACTTATCCTCCCTGTTGAAGTGTTTTATTCAATCTTGGGTAACAAGCTCCGGTTCCTCTGTCAAGGACACAGCGGAGAGGGGTAGTTTCGGTGAATATTTCAACACTCATCTATTCACCATGGACGCCATCGAGAACCTCTTAGCCTGGGCAAAGACCCAAGGCATTACCATAAACAACGTCGGTCCCCGCGCTCTTCCCGGCCGCGGCATAGGCATCGTCGCAACCTCACCCATCAAAGTCAGCCTCCCATCCCTCATCCTCGCCCGCACCATCACTAACACAACCCCCCCAGAAAGACGACGCCGTCCTCGACGTGCCCATCCCCTGCCTAAAAACAATCGCCACAGTCCCCAAACCCATCTCCCGCCTCTTCCCAAAAGACACCGCCGTCCACGCCCTCCTCGCCGCCGACATCGCCCTCGACACCTCCCCCTCCTTCAAAACCTGGTCCGCCGTCTTCCCAACGCCCGCAGATCTCTCCTCCTGCCCGCTCACCTGGTCCGCCGCCCTCACAGCCCACCTGCCCCCGACGGCCGCCGCCCTCCTCGCCGCGCAGTCCGAAAAGTTCGAGGCCCACTGGTCCCTCGCCGCCGCCGCCCTCCCGGACCTGGACTACGCCGCCTACCGCCACGCCTGGCTGCTCGTCAACTCGCGCACCTTCTACCACGTCACCCCACGCACAGCCAAGCGCAGCCGCGACGACCACATGATCCTGCAGCCCGTCGCTGACCTGCTCAACCACGCCTCGCGTGGGTGCAACGTCGCCTTCGACACCGAGTCCTTCACCATCCGCGCGGACAGGGACTACGCCCCCGGAGAGGAGATCCACATCTGCTACGGGCGGCACAGCAACGACTTCCTCCTTGTGGAGTACGGCTTCGTGATGGGGGCTGGGGAGAATGAGTGGGATGAGGCGTGTCTTGACGAAGCGCTGCTTCCGAGGTTAGGCGCCGTGCAGAGGAAGAGGCTCGAGGAGAGGGGGTTCCTGGGGAAGTGGATGGTCGATGCGGAGATGGTGTGTTATCGGACGCAGGTTGCGTTGAGGAGTTTGGTGCTGCCGGCGAGGAGGTGGGCGAGGTTCGTCGATGGGTTCGAGGACGGGGAAGCGGAGCAGGCGGAGGTTGATGAGATTCTGAGAGAGGTGCTTGTGGCATATGACGAGGAAATCTCCCGCAAGGTTGAGCTGATAAGCAAGCTGAGCGAGGGCGAGGACTTTCAGCGGGAGATGCTTGTGATGCGGTGGGGACAGATACAAGAGCTCGTCCGCACGACGATACAGAAACTCAAGACGAGATGAAAAATGTGAATACAGTAACTTTGATAAGCAAACGCAGCCTGGATGTGTGTACAAGGTGCGGTTTGTTCAAACAACTCTAACGCCAGGACCGAGCTGCCGGAAACCATTCTTCCCATGCAATCAAAATTCTAATAGTACACTTTGTATCCGATCCAGTGATTTAGCAAACGAGCAGGCAGCATTGGTCTCATTCTATCCTGCTGTACAATGTGCTGGGACAGGTGAGCAGACGATAATCTGTTTGCGAGCAACACTCCATTATTCGTTGAAACTCTCCCATTGAAGTCCAAGACACTATTTCGAGGTGGGGCGTGGGTGAGTTGCCGAAGAGCCTTTTCTCCAGGAGCCCTACTCCGGCCGAGGTCTCTTTGCACCGTGAGGGTTGCCCCAGTCGTTACCTCCGCCCTGGTTTCCTCCAAAGAATGCTGGGTTGAACTGTTGGGGCATGCCATGGAAGCCTGTTTTGTCGTTAGCGTGCGGCTCTCGACCGATGAAATAACTGTGACTGAAAACAAAACAAAAGTAAATCGAGGTCAATGAAAAGCTTGAGCTTGTCCAGGAGGCCGTTTGAAGCCTGAAAAAGACATGGCCGTCATGGCTCAGGAGAGGTTCTGGCAAGCCAGTCTTTCAGACGTCGGTTCCTCAGGTCTGGCAACTCCGCCATTACTTCCGCTGCGCGTTTGCTCCTCAGGTCTGACGCCTCCGCTACTACGTCTGCTGAACGCATGCGTTTTGCAGGTTGCCCAGGGGTGGGTTGAGACGCAGAGAGAACGGATTGCCCGGGAGCGGAAGAAAATAACGAAAGTGGCCAAAGGCTCGGTTGAGACGGAAAGACAAGGGATTGCCCAGGGGGAAGACGAGCAATTGAAGGTGGAGGACGAAGTTGAAATCCACAGGGAAGGGGAGTCGTACCAGGCATTCCGCCGCCCATCATGTTCATGTTGGGCATACCTCCCATCGGCATACCGCCCATCGGTCCCATACCCATACCACCCATCGGGTTGTTCATGCCGCCACCACGGCCGCCGCGCATTCCGGGACCGCCGCGCATACCTCCACCGAAGCCGCCGCCCCGGTTAAAGCCGCCGCCTCCGCCGAAGTTTCCGCCCATGCCGTTGTTGAAGCCGCCACCCATGTTGTTGTTGAATCCGCCTCCCATGCCGCCGCCACCTGAGAAGTTGCGGTTGAAACCCTGGTTCATACCTCCGCGAGGTCCGTTAAAACCTCCTCGGCCGCGGTAGCCGCCGCGGAACTCGCCGCCCATCGAGGAACCTTGGTTGTTGTAGCCGCCGCGAGAGGATCCCTGGTCCTTACCCGCGCGGTTTGGTGCATCCTTAGGCAGCGTACGGAACGGGTTGACGTTGGGGTTCGAGTAGGTGACGTTGTGCTTCTTCGGGACACCGTTGACGCCATCTGTTGATTCAATCGCATGCTTGGCTGCCGTTGCTGCTTGTTGAGTGGTAAACTCGACGTATACTTGCCTTTGAGAGAGTTAGCCAGCCGACAATCCCTAGGAGGACCATCAACCTACCCTTTGCTCTTGCCGTTGACCTTGTGTTCACTAAACGTTATGTCCTTCAGCTCGTCTTCGCAATGGCCTTCTCTGCACCATCCCCTGATGTCATCGTCGGTGTTCCACCAGTTCAGATCGGAAATCATGATGGCCGTCGTTGCACCTGGGTCGACAGGCCGGTCGTCGCCCTTTCTCTTCACGCCCTGCTGCGGGGCAGGTGCGTCCTGCTGGTCCTGCTCGTTCTGGTCGTGATACTCTTCGTGGTTGTCATGCTTCTGCTCCGCGTGGTGATCGTCGGCGTGTCCGTTGGTGGCACCTCCATCGTAGGCCTCCGCGTTGCCGTCGTGGTTATCTTGGGGCGCGTCGCCGTAGATGTCGATCTCGAATTCCTCTTCAGCCATGGTGCCGGTGGTATCTGGTAGCCGTGAGTTGAAGTAGAGAGCTTGGTTGTGGTTGTAAAATGGTTGTTATTAGTCTGCGAAGATACAGGGACCGTCTGCAGTCTTTGAACGGGATCATCAGCCGCTGCCAGGTACAGGGTCATTGCCAGAAGAAATCTTGAGTCAAATGGAACTCGAGCAAAAAACAGGATGGAAGCAGAGAACAACTGATACGTACACTCCTCGTTCCGCAGACAGGACAGGATGGGAAGAGGTTGGATTGAATGCCCCAAGCCAGGAGTCCTCTCCCTTTTCTTCTCACCCAAGTAAAAATTGAAGACGAAGCTCTGTGCCTCGGTCTTCCGTCTTCCCAGAAGGCGTGATAATTTGTCTTTCCTTGTTTTTCCGGCCCCAGAAAGCCTTAGGTACAGGCAAAAGATAGAAGTTGGACGAGGGAGAGAGGTGGAAACAGGATCCCGAGATTCCAGAGTCCGTTTGCCCGTTCTGCCACCGCCTTTTGGCCGTCGCCTCCTTGCGCGTGCCTGCCCGCTCAATTGTGCGGCCGAAGCTGTCAGCCGGGGGTGGTTAGTAAGGGATCTAGGAAGCCAGTCAAGGTTTCCGGGTGAGGTCAGCAGCCGCAGGTGCTTCGCTGGCGACTCGGTCTGGTATTTTCAAGGGCGTCAAAGCGACGCGTCGGTTTCGATAACGTGTGCTGGATCGGTATCGGCCAGCGGATGGAGGTAAGGTCGTCTTGGTGTTGACGCGATGAAGAAATGCAGTTGAGGTGGGAAGCCGGAGGAGCGTTTGGAAAGAGAAGAAAACTGGGGGAAGCTCCTGAGAGAGCTGAGGTCGCATCCTGAACCAGGCGGGCACAGACGCCGCCGGTGGATGCCCAAGTGGAGCCCATGTCCAGCTTTGAGGTGCTTAGCAGTTGCGGTACGTGCCACTATCGCTAAAGCACCTTATCATGTGCTGAAGACGCGGGACTCTTTGGCTGGACCAGGCCCAGTCCAGCACTCCAGCACTCCACTTGTCCACTGGCGGGGGAAATCCAGGGGCTCACGAGCACCACTCCACTGAAGGAGGCTCCATTCGCGCAATCAACCTTGCGACACCTTAGATAAGCAGCCCGTGGTGTGTGCATCGGGGCCCGGCGCATCATTCCTCCACGCCTCCTTTATGGCAATCTGGCTTCCTGCCATAGCGGGAGCTTAGCCCGAAATTTTGGGACCCTTGGTGACAGCGCGTGCTCTCTCTCAATTTAACACATCTCCCTTCGCCATCGACCTCTCGAATCTTCCACCCATCCGACCTGCACGTCTTAAACACTCGACGTCGCGCCCTCCTTTAGTCCACTCGACGGTTTCCCTTTTATATCGCGACCCATTGGGATTCTACTGCGTCCTTTACCCCGTCTTCTCTTCTCGATACCCACGCGCTTCTATCCACAATGGCCGACCAGGTTAAGGAGATCCTTGAGGTTCCCTCCGAGTTCGCTCAGGACGGTGTTCAGTTCATGAGGAGGTGCACCAAGCGTACGTAGCGCATCACAGTCGCCATCTCGTGCGCCAATTGCTAACGTGTCACTAGCCGACAAGGTCGAGTTCCTGAAGCTCTGCCAGGCTGTTGGTGTCGGTTTCCTCATCATGGGCGCTGTCGGCTACATCGTCAAGCTGATTCACATCCCCGTCAACAACATCCTCGTCGGAGGCGCATAAACGGCGAAACTTCTCGTCAAGCGGGAAGTACCAGTGAAACGGACCAGCTTCTCAAACCAAAACCGCGTCGACTTGTTGTCGGCCAAGATGAACACGTTATACGAATAGCAAGGGGTTCAAAAGCATCGCACGGCTAGATTGCAATACAGCAACTTCGAGAGGCGGAAGACGCATGCAGCGTCAGGAGATACCCCGGACCCAGAGGCTGCATCGATCATGTATCATTGCCAAAAGAGGGGTTGACATTTGTGGAGGATGTACAAATAATCGAAAATAATCATCCCATGCCGCCTTTTCGCCAGTGATGTGTGCCGCAAGAGATCTACATGTGGAATCCGACGTCGCCTACCGGACGCAGCTTCTCGTCCAAACTACGACCCATTTCGGGCTCGGCCTCGTCGTCCTCGGTTTCGTTGTATGAATGCAAGGTGCACGTTCCATGGGCCATATTGAATCCGTTCCAGGCAGAAGCTGCGATTGTTAGCTATTGGGTTGTAGACGTGGGTTTACCGTTACTTACCAACGAGTACTGGCGCATTGGGGTGCCAGCTTACGTCGCGCACGCATGTATTCCAGCCTGGGAAGTCATCTCCATGGTAGATGCGATACCTGCGCTCAAGAGGCCGTGAGTTCTTGGTCGCCTTCCTTACATCAATCGTGCCCGCCAAAGTGGCATCCAGGTTCCAGATGTACACCTTTCCGTCCTGACTGCCAGAGTAAACGTATCGCGAGTTCGTGCTGGACGGCGGCGAAAAGTGGCAGCGAATCAGTGTGCGCATCACCCTATGGCCCCTGAACGTGACGAGGGAGTTGTCGTTGGGATGGGGAAACCAGTCCTCGTCCCTGTACGTTCCCCATCTGTAGTCGAAATCGCTATTTCCGGTTACCCTGGTGGGGTTGACTTCGTCGTACTTGGACATGGACATGACCATTCTCAAATCCCAGAGCTTCATCGTTTGGTCTTTTCCGTTACTTAGAATGTATCGGCCGTCGCCCTTACTGTCGATATACGTGAGACCTTCGACGTGGCCAACGAATGCTCCGGCAGGTCTTTGGTCTCCCATACTGCGTCTATCCCAAACCTTGATGGTTGCGTCGTCTGAACCGGAGTAGAGGATATGCGGGGAGGATTTATCTGCAAAGCAGACAGCGTTCACGTCGTCCTCGTGGCCAACAACGTTGTGCAGTACCGTGCGCGACTCAATATCATAGACGACAATAGATTGCGTGTTGGTACCAGCCACAAGTTCTCGACCGTCGCCTGAGAACCTAACCGACCAGATTCCGAAAGCGTGTCTCGTCCGCCATCCCTGAGCCCGCTGTTGCTCTACGCTTTGCTGGGCGAGGTCCAGCGTGTACGGATCGCCGGTGTCGTTTGGATCCGTAGGTGCGAGGCATACGTTACTTTGAATGGATGTGTAAGCCAGCCAGCGGTTGTCAGGGCTGAGAGATGCGTCTGTCAAAGTCCATTGACCCCAGGGGTAGTTGACCGTCTTGTAATACTTCCAATCGTACGGGTTCGAGGTGTCGTACATGCGGACCTTGAAGTCATGACCGCATGCGTAGAAGAAGTTGCCGTCGTCGGAAAACTGGCCAGAGTAGACCGGGTCGTCGTAGTGTACAATCATCTCGGGTGTTGTTGATGGAATCATGCCCTGGGCCATGAGGTCTTGATTTTGTTGTCGGTCCCGTCTGCCACCGAGTCCCAGCTCGCGATCAAGCATCCGCCTCGCCAACTGCTTCTTCGAAACGCGGTACTTGTTTGAGCCAAACGCGCCAGAGTGCATCAGCTTCGTGCCCTCGTCGCTCGGGACCTTGGGAAACTTGACCGGCTCCCGGGGAGTCCTCCTCCTGCGTCTTCCGGCTCCCCACGGATTGACGTCGTCGTCCTCGTCGTCTTCATCAACACCGCGCAACGTCACTTCGCCCCTCTCAATCAGACCGAGCAGCTGGGCCCTTGTTAGAAAGCCCGTTCCGGTGCGCGCACCCGCTGTTATGTAATGTCAGTCGCGATGCCAAGAACTGGTCATGGGAGCAAGACATACTCAAGAGCGCCATGATTCTTGAAATTGTATTGTCAGGTCCAGTTTCATCATCGTCATCGTCTTCTTCCTCGTCATTCTCGCCTGCGTTCAAAAGCATTTCGACTTCGACGTTGCCGTCGCCACCATCGTCGGCATCTGCGGGGTGTAAGTGACGAGGTCAATGAGACTGTGGCAGCTCAATGCAGGCGGTAATCTAGCTCACCATGATATTCACTTTCATCGTCGTCCTCTTCATTGGGCTCGTCTTGGAAATCAGGATCATATTCGTCATCGTCATTGTCCATCTCGTCAACCTCCTCGGGATCGAAGAACAGCCTCCACGTGGGTTCACCGTCATCGCTGGACGGGGCCATATTTGGAGGAGAGGGCGACCGCGAGTCACCACCGAATCGAGGCATTTCGAGCCAATAGTGTTCACGGAAGCTCGGATTACAGCGGATGATACAACGGAGCTCGGATATGAGACTGCCGATGTGTGATGGGGGTTGAAAGCGAGAGCGTATGTGGCAGCTTCGCTATCGTCTGGCGCGCGAGAGCTTCTATGGTGAATTCAGGTGCAAATGGACGATTATTAGGTGAATTACGTTGAGAAGCGATGCTCGGTTTATGTTTCACGAAGAGGCGGTCGTTGACGACATCCATAAAGAGTCCCGGGGTAGGTGGGGTTCCCTAGCAAGTCGCCGGTCGGCGGAGATAAGATAACGAAGCTGCTGTAAGCTCCGGCACTCAGTGCACCAGCAGCTGGAGCTTCTGCGACAATCCACAACGATGATGCTGATCCGGTACGTATCCTGGAGCCCGTTGTGGCCAAGCAAGCTCTCGGAATTCTGCGAGCAAATCTGGGGTTGGTTCAATGGATGCAACCCGGTCCACGGCTGCATCCACCTGTCAGGAAACACGATGAACAGCAATACCTTATTTTCCCAGTTAACTGTGTCCCTGTCCATAAGGTATTGGCAGTCCGAGGTAGATGTAGTCCTGTGCCTGTTGCGTGTCGCAGCCAACAGCAGCAGCATGATTTCCAACGCCACTGATGAAGCTCCGTCCAGTACCCGGGCTGACCGTGTCCTCTATCGAGTTATCCCATATAGGCCCCCTCAGTGGAATGGAACGACTCACCCGCTGCAAGAGGAGGCGTGTTCTAGGGGGCCGCGGGGGGCCCGCCAACACTTCACAGTTGAACCTAAGACTGAAGTCGCCCCTTGTGGGGCACGTTTAGCCCGTCGGAACATGGGGGCACCGCGCGGCGCGTCCTCCA